TTTGCTCGCGAGATGGAACGCAAATTAGGTTTAGACTGGGATCGAACCCAGTATCGAAATAAAAGAGTCACGTAAAATATATGTCATCCCCTGGTGGTGCTTGCCTTTTTACTTTTCGTCTTTCCTGACTGATAACTCTCACCAAAAAAAGAGGGAAAAAAAAGAAAAACCCCTTTTACCTTTTTCCCCAACTTGAAAACTTCCACACACGCCAAGCTTATTCTTTTTACATCATCCTACAAAAATATTCCCAAACTACATCTTCTTTACACTCCAATAAAATTCAATTACAATCTCAATTCAATTTAATACTCTACGTACTTTAATTTAACTTTACTTCAATTTAATGCTCTACAATAAATTTCAAATTATTTCTATACTTCAAAAGGATATAAATTATTCGAAAATATCAATAACTTCTTTTTTTAAATAAATATTTAATGATTATTATTTTTCCGTAGAAATTAAAATTCTTTGAAACATTTAAATTCAAACCTTTTCGAAATTCAACAACTTATCAAAATTTTATTGTAAAACATGAAGATATCGATCACTCCGAGTCCTCGACTCGGAATGATCGATTTCCGAAAGAGAGAAATTTTCCAAAACATTTAAGAAAGAAATAAGAAATTTTAATTATCAGCGAATTTAACCCATATTTGGATTGGTATAATAATTCCGGATTCAGTTAATCAATAAAAACAAATTGCAAACGACAATAAATTCCCTTCATTACGTAACTGTAAAAAAAACTCCATTTAACGACTTTTCGTAAAAATGTATTTATAAACGAAAAAAAAATTTAAAAAAAGTAATCCATTAACAATCAATAAAGGGAGAAAAAAATATCAATTTGCAACAAACAGGAAATTTTCATAAAATTGTCATTGCTTCATCTTGTGGATTTCATTAATATTTTATTCTCCTGTATCGCTTTGGTATGCTAACGAATTCCCAATTAAACGTGTTTTATAATGTGATTAACGCCACAGGAAAGTGGTGGATATTACTAATTTTTTTCGACCGCTAAGATACCAAACTAATTTTCACAGCATGTATATACAGTGAATTTTACAGCAAATAGAGAGGGAAAAAAACATGTTCGACAAAAGTAAATAACAATAAACAATTCAAAAGCGCCTTAATTTCTATACTTGGCATCTCTCACATATTCTGACACCGATCTCAGTCCCAACACAAACCAACCTTCTGCGAAATCGCACGACGACCCCAAACCTCCCACGTCGAGGTGAGTAGGTCTCTTAGCAGTCCTGCCATCTCGGAATGCCTCTCCTCATTTCTCTACAGTGTCTATAATACCTGCTGCTACGATCATAGTTTCAGAGAGTCCTATTAGTAAGGTTAGATATACATGTACATTCGAGTAATTCACGTCATCAGTCTCAATTACTATCATTACTCCCCTTTTGCATTAGAAAAACAGCTTTTTAAATGGCGTCAATTCTAATATAATATATCAACACATTTCATCTTTTTCCTTTTTTTCTCCATCATTTATCAATTTAGAGGTTAATAACAATAAGATACTAATCTTCCAAGAATTTTAATCTATGGACAAAGATATTTACAGGGATCAAGATGATTTTTTTCATGTAATATCAGATAAAAGGGGGATTTTAATATTTTAAGAGGGGATTCAGATTAAAAAGGGGAATTTTTCAAATTGTGTAACAAATTATTGTAACTACTTTTCTTTTAAAATACTATGAAATTCACTATATCCAAAGTACTCTCTAAATTTAAATCACTGTTCAACTGATTTTTTGCTTCCGCAAACACTACTCTCTTAATTTGAAACAGTTCAAACTCATAGTTTTAACTGACAATCAGTAACTGACTTTTTGCTTCTGAATTAGTTAAAAGTAACTAATTTTCGGTAAAAAAAAATTAAACGAATTATTTAAATCTCACTGCCAAAAATTAGCAGAAGATGAAAAATTATTTTTTGAGCAAACTTTATCTTCAGTTTACTAACAATTGTTAGTCATAAAATTTTTTACTGGTCCTAAACTATTACTAGAAAAGTTCTAATAATTATCTAGGTCATCAAAATTAATTTAATTCACTATTCACAAAAAGGAACAACAGCCGATGATCAGCAGAAGGTAAAAAATTATTTTCCTGATCTGATCTAATTTACAGAAACATTTGCCTAATCGAACGTTACAAAATTCGCGCACACGGAACTAAAGTTTCCTGAACTGAAATAATTTACAGAAACATTTACCTAAACGAACGTGACAAGCATCGCGACCACGGAACTAAAGTTTCCTGAACTTAACTAATTTACAGAAACATTTATCTAAACGATCGTGACAAAACTCGCGACCACGAAACTAAAAATTCCTGAACTGAAATAATTTACAGAAACATTTACCTAAACGAACGTGACAAGCATCGCGACCACGGAACTAAAGTTTCCTGAACTGAACTAATTTACAGAAACATTTACCTAAACGAACGTGACAAAACTCGCGACCACGAAACTAAAAATTCCTGAACTGAACTAATTTACAGAAATATTTACCTAATCGAACGTGACAAACATCGCGACCACGGAACTAAAGTTTCCTGAACTTAACTAATTTACAGAAACATTTATCTAAACGATCGTGACAAAACTCGCGACCACGAAACTAAAAATTCCTGAACTGAAATAATTTACAGAAACATTTACCTAAACGAACGTGACAAGCATCGCGACCACGGAACTAAAGTTTCCTGAACTGAACTAATTTACAGAAACATTTACCTAAACGAACGTGACAAAACTCGCGACCACGAAACTAAAAATTCCTGAACTGAACTAATTTACAGAAATATTTACCTAATCGAACGTGACAAACATCGCGACCACGGAACTAAAGTTTCCTGAACTTAACTAATTTACAGAAACATTTATCTAAACGATCGTGACAAAACTCGCGACCACGAAACTAAAAATTCCTGAACTGAAATAATTTACAGAAACATTTACCTAAACGAACGTGACGAAATTCGCGCACACGGAACTAAATTTTCCTGAACTGAAATAATTTACAGAAACATTTACCTAAACGAACGTGACAAACATCGCGAACACGGAACTAAATTTTCCTGAACTGAACTAATTTACAGAAACATTTACCTAAAAGAACGTGACAAAACTCGCGACAGTGAAAGTAAAATTTCCTGAACTGAACTAATTTACAAAAACATTTACCTCAACGAACGTGACAAATGTCACGACTACGAAACTAAATTTTTCTGATAATCACAACCGATAATCAGCAGAAGATGAAAAATTATTTTCGAGCAAACTTTATCTTTAGTTTAATAACAATTGTTAGTCATAAAATTTTTTACTGGTCCTAAACTATTACTAGAATAATTCCAATAATTATCTGTGTTATCAAAATTAATTAAATTCACAATATAATAAAAAGGAACCCTAGCCGTTAATCAGCAGAAAACAAAAATTATTTTTTGAGCGAACTTTGTTTCGTTTGTTAACAGCTGTTAATAAAAAAATTATTTACTGTTCCTAAACAATGTCTAAAACAAAATTTTCTCAAAAATCTTTAAAAACAGACAAAATTCCAAAAATTTTTTTAAGTTACATACTATTTCCTTGTTTTCCGTACCTTTTTCTAAAATTCATACTTCTTTCATGTTTTCCGATATTTTCAGGCTTTGTGGCAACCATGTTTCTACGAGTTTAATTATTTTTGTAATAAAAATTGCAAAATCTGTTAATTATTATAATTATCATACTATATTGTAATTTTATTATCAAACTATATATTGTAATTATATTATAATTACTATACAATTATATTAAAATTACTATAAAATGATAATATAACGTGGAGTGTGGTCCATAAATTACATCGCGCTTTTAAGGCGAAAAGAAGGTTCAAACTTTTCTTATCTTACAGAAAAAATTGCGCCTATATGCAGCAATGTACAACGCAGAAGGGGAACCGAGACTAAGAGGGGTGGAAAGTAGTATAAAAAAGCGTTATCATACTTTACGGTCAACCCCCATAATTGTTAATTAACGGAAGAAGAAGAAGTCTAACATTAGCAAAAAATAAGTAAATTTTTAATTTACTTAACATTTTTAATTTAAAAAATAATTTATATTGGATTCATTTTTTCCATCACAGAGAAAACTAAGAGTTGTTTTTGTTGTGGGGTAATTGGTGTAATTCTAATGAGGGTGAATATTCAACTTTACCTCTATTTAGTGTAATTATATTATCTTACACAAGTTGAAGCCTGTAGTGGATATGCTCAAGAAAATTTATCAAACAAAATAATTTGATCCGCATTAAGAATTAATTAAATTCAAATTTTTCCAGATTCAGTTTCAGCTTCATAATTTAAGAAGAAGGCAGTTATTAGCACCCAGTTAATTTTTAAAATACAATTTTAAAGTTATTTTTTGTTTAAAACCAACATAAAATTTTGAAAAACTATTATTGAAGAAAAAAAGTTTCCTTTCAACTTGAAGAATTTTTCCTATCATTTTATCAAGAAGTTTAAATTTCTGTTTTAAAATTTAACAACACAGATGTTGTTTACTCTATAAATTTCAAATTTTTGTACTTTTTTTAAAATTTATTTTATTTCTGTATTTCTTCGAGAATTTATAAACTAATTTCCAAATCAATTTAAACCAAATACTTTTAATATCTTTAGGTACTGTTGATTATTTTTAAATTTAATACAAAACAATCACCCGAAGGATAGTTGCAGAATTATTAATTTTATTTCAAAAGATTGATTGAAGTTTCATTAAATGACATGATGATGAAGTTCGGGTCAAATTGACCCAGTGTGTTAACGCCGGAGCAAAAAAAAAAACAAGTGTGTCATCGAGAGGTTAAAATAACACTCCGTTTTCTCTGTGATTATGTGGATTAATTTTCCTTAATTTTGAAATAAAAGAAATCAAGTGTTTCAAATAAGAGGTTTTTTAATTAAAAACGACTTACCGGATCCGGAAGTTGATGATTGCCGTACCTTTCCTCATCTTTGAAGAAATGAAGACAATTCTGCGTAGATCGAAGATGAATACTATTTTGAATGTTGACGTTCACTTTATGTTTTCGAATTTTTACTATAACTCTTCCATTTTTCATAGTCGAAAAATTTATATCTGAAAATAGAAAAAAAATTATTACAGCAACAATAATTTTCGTTTTAAGTTATAAACGATTTCAGGCTTTCTTTTTTCTCTCTAGATTTTAATTAAGTTAGTGAATTCTTCGTATAAAAGGAAGAAATCCTTACATCCTCTTTTATATTCTTTAATTTCGCAAAATGCAGAGTTTTATTTTCTGCTTGTCAAACCGACGTATATCCTGCTGAAAAGGAAACTTATTCAGTGTACAGTTTCTTTACTGACAAGCAGTATCCTGAGAAAGGAGTATGTAATGGCGAAGATGTACTCGATCCGATTGAGTGGAAATGGGAAAAGGATAAGAGGAAAACTGTGTAGGTAGATGCGTTCCTGGGTCTCTTTCTCTTTTTTTTATTCTTTGTTCTAGGAAAAACCTATATTCTTCTGTGTCATTTCCTTTATATAGAAAAAAGGGGTGTCGATTTGCCGTCTAATGTCCTTTGTATCGCTGTCTTTGTGAATATCCAATTTTGTCCCGATTGTAGAATAAAAAAGATAGAGAGAGAAGAAAGTGAAGTGGCAATTTGAATTTCCTTTAAATTATTACTTCCTAACCATTGAATTTAAAATAAGCTAACCAAACGCGAATCAATGATGTAATCGAGGAAAAGTAACAAATCACTGGTACATTTATTTTTCAACTACATTATATGGATAATATAGTGGAGGGAGAATTTTCCCTCTTTCACTATTTTTTTCTTTGCTTCTTGAAAATATAAACAGAAATTTAGTTCAAAAAGGGTTTCCAATAGAATAAACATTTTGACTGAAATACTTTTATAAGGGTTAAAGAAAATAATTGGATACTTTCTTTCAAGTGTGAAAGAGATTTTATTTTGAGGTTTATCTTTATAAACTCAAAAAACCCTTCAAAATATTTGTTGAAAAAAATAAAAAATGGAATTTTTTGGTACAGTAGAACCCCAATTATCCAAGATTGTTGCGATATGTGAAAAAGTCGGAAACGTCGCATTTTTGAAAAACAGTCCTAGTCCAAAAACAAAAATACAAAGACTACAGATCCAATAAATAACAGCTCCTTTACACAGTTCCTTAAGCCGTAATTGTAAATTAATTTACAGTGTAACTTTGCATTCATTACAAATGTGCTAAATGTAAATTTAAGATAAAAAGTGTATAATAACATTAAGGAGAATCAAGAAAAGATAAAGGGTGAAGATAAGAATCGCGAAGCCAAGAAAAAAAACCGTATATATAAGGATGTATGACATTTCGAATTGGCGATTGGTTGTAAAAGCAGAGCTTAACCAAACAGGAAATGTTAATGCAAATTAATATTCATAACTGTCTTGAAGAGTATTTTATGGTGAGGCGGATTTCGAGTCGAGACACCCGTTATAGAAGATCGTTCCCGCCTTTAGCCACTACATGGAATATAATGCAACATATAGGAAACTTGTACACACGTGTATGTGTATATATATATATATTTCCCGGCAGGTCGTATCTTCTCGTTAGCCGTGCGATGATGCTACCCGCTTGGTAGAGTCACGTTTTTAATTTCTATCATAGCGGTCTTAGTTCATTTTCACACCCCCCTCAAGCGTTATGTTCGTCGAACCGTCTAATAAGTAAATAATAACTTCTTACCTTACATAATTTACTGGACTGAAGAGAGGAGAAAAAGGACTTCTACCAATCATTCAAAGGACGATTCTTTATTTTTTCATTCTTTCTTTGGTCTTCTCCGTCTCAACACATATTCTTCTCCTTAAACACTCCTGTCCGAATCATTAGCTGCAATAAAATTAACAAATGATCACTTCAAATATATTTCCCTTTAATTTATTGAGGTGTTTTGGCGCTATACACACGATCGTTATTCAAACTCCACTCAAACTTTATACATTTACTAACTGAATTTGTATACCACAATAATTGGCAATGATAATTTTAAATAAACGAAGAAGAGCGAGTGCTTTTATTTCTTTCTTTTCGAAATTTATACTTCCGTAGAAAATTTTTTTATCAAACTTAAAATGTTTATGAAGCAATTTTATAAATATTGGTCAGGGTAAAAATGTTATTTTTTATTCGAGTGGTGAAAAAATTACGAGCTAAATAAATTTTTAGAGTATAAATATCCTGTTTTGTTTCAAATAAATAATAATTAATTCAAATAGATTTTATTTAAGACGGTCTCAGTTGCTCATAAATCAACCGAAACTGAAGATTAAGGTTAACTAGAAACTACAGATTAAAAGTAATCTCTAAAATCAGTCAAACTTCTTCGATTGATAATTGTTACGTCCAGTTTAAACAAGAAGACATTTTATTTTACTAATGTTGATACGAAGTTTCTCTTATTCATTAGAGGTGACCTTTTAAGGATTGCCAAGATTGATTTTAAACAAATATATTTAAAAATTGTAAACTATCTTCATGACGTAGATAGTAAATTTTCCCGGGTCTAAATAAGACTTTATGGCTTGATGTCGTTAGAGCACTTCAGTGGCAAATGTAAACATACGCGTGTACGTAGGATACCAAGGTATATCTTGTGAAATAAAACGCGACATTGAAGAGCAAAGGGGGTTGGTATATAAGGTATCTTGTGTAGCGCATATGAATATGTAGGCGCATACTATAGGGATGAAAGTGTTCATATACATATGCATATGTATATTATATATATACCTATATATATTATACGTATAGGTATATATATATATATATATATATATATATGTATTCGCAGACCCGGGGAGAAAATGGGATTCAACATCCATACGAGGTCTTGGCTTCTTACTTAGGATGCATGTGTTTACTTTTAATATATTTTCCGACCATGTTGACCGAGACGTGCTTTCGCCTCGTATGTATATGTGCGAAGAAATCGACCTACACGGTGACGATAAAGTATTCACTTTGCCCAACCATGTATAAAACTACGGTTTGAAATTTTCCCAATAAACGGCTCGGCAACATGATATTACACTGAGCCTGGGAATCCCGGAAATTGCTTACGATTTTATGCATGAAAATTATTATTAGAGAAAGGAGGGCGAAGACGGTAGCAGACTATGTGTATGCACTTTAAAAGAATGTTTGACAAATTATTAATGTCATCTTTAACAAATGTTTCTATTAAATTTAAAATACGTTTCCAAACAAAATCCTTCTACGACATCAGCTCATAACTACTGTAACTGCTTTCTATTGTGTTATAAATACAATTTTTTAAGCCCTTTCTGAAAAATTTTTATGCAAATATATTGCAAATTTATTTTCAAATTAACCAAGATTTCTTATCATTACAAACTTTTGTTTAAAAAGAAATTCTCACAAAATTCTCATTGGCGGAGAATATGTTTAAATATATGACTTTAAATTTTAACAAAAATTGAAGTCTTTATAGAAGAAATCTTATAAAAAAAAACATCTTACAAATATAAGAATTGTGAAGACTATTAAATAAAAACTTCAAAGGCTTTTTAAATTAAGCGTATACCATTGTAAGTGAATCTTTTTTAATACATAGAGTTAAATTTATATAAAATACACGAACAGAGCGAGAGGGAGAGAGAGAAAGAAAGAGCAGAAGATGCTGATAACAATGCAGAAATAATTTTCCGTTGAGCGAAAGAAATCTTTTGGATAGAATATTTTTTCCTATATTCTAGAGCGCAATATCTCTCGGAAGTAAATTTTTATTTCTTTTAAAATGAAAAATTGAATTTTATATATCAGCTAAAAAGTACTCAAGAGAGTCTGCTATAGTCAAATTTATTCTCTTTATATATGTCTAAAAGTATTGGCTATATATGTATAAATAGTCAATACTTTTTTAAGAAATGGAAATCATTTTTCAATTACGGGCAATACGCGGAATGTAAGACAAGTGTCGACTTCAACTATTGTTTAAAAATAAAATCGTCTTACTTTAAAATTAAAAAGTTTAATTATTGTTACGTCCAGTTTAAACAACCCTCTTTCAAACAATTATATTTGAAATCTATTTTAATTATTGTTACGTCCAGTTATAACCATTATTTTTGAATGCAGCATAAAATTGGTAATATTGACTTTTCACATGAAAATTTCTTATTTCCAATAATAATTCGAATCGTCGAAGAAAATCCACCTCGGGATCTCGATTAGGAAGTTGAAAGGCACAAGAGACCTCGAATGCATACAGAAAGTAGGGACCATTCGTCTGAGGTGCAAAAGAGATCGCTCGGGAATCTCGCGAGCTACTTCTCACTTAAATCACAGGAGGGATGGTGGTGTGCATCTTATCTCCGCGTTGGCGCTATGCAAGAGAGGATTCGACAATTCCAAGTCTCTCGCCAAAGACGTGGGACTTGCAGCAAATCCTCCTTCTTCGGCGTATGCATATAGGAACTTGCGACCAAGTTACGCCAAGTGAAAAGAGAAAAGAAAAAGAATAGAGGACAAGAGGGTAGGAAAAAAGAATAGAGAGAAAAAAAGAGGGAGAACCTAGGACGAGGAAGAAGAACGCATATAGTGTGTTTGTCCAAGAAGAAGCAGAAGAAGAAGAAGAACTGGCGAAGCAGTGTGAGTAGTCTGAGAGGGGGGTGTCGGTATGGGGTCGACCATCTACCCTCTCTACTTCCCTTTAGGTGGTGGCATTAGATCGACGGGAGGTTGAGAGAGTCCTCTTAGCGCATTTCAATATATGGCAAAGGCCTTTGAGGTTGTGGGGTGGACGGGCGGCTGAAGAACGATGTTCAGGGACGGGGTAAGAAGACAAGGGGGGGTGAAGTAAGGGTGGTGCTATTGATTCTTCTTTTAATCTCGTCGCGACCCATCCCCAGGCGGGGTGAGGAGAAAGAAGGACTCGGGAGGTGAAGTGGGTGGGTTTGAGGAAGCGGTTGAAGAGCAAGAAGGGAGGGTTACTTATTTGAATGTGTCGTCGCACGCCCCGAGACAAAAACGATAGAGAACCCGTGAAATCGATGTGATGGTCCTCCCATCCCCAACGATTCCCTCAACCATAAACACACACATTTCACCTCGTGTCGATTACTTTCTTTTCTTTTCCGTTTTTCTTTTTTGGGCATCCCACTCCCTTCTATTTTTTACTTTTGTTTATTCTTAACCATCAATTGACTAGCTGTTATATAATAAATCAGGAAACGATAAATCAAAACACTCTTCTAAGACCATCAATTCTTATATGATTCTGCAATGACTTTAAGTCAAATTTATTGAATGATAAGCAGATTCAACAAAAGGATGTTTCGAGAAGAAGATGTTTCGTATCATTGAAAGTTCATGGATACTTGGATTTCAGCTGCCTTCTCATGACAAATGGAGCTAAATTCTCTTCCCATTATTTCGAATAAAATCGAATTCTTCTCAGTTTTTATATTTTTCTATCTACCGTATAAGAGTCCCTAAGAATCGTTTCTAAAATTGAAGAATAAAACATTGTTAAGCTCGTATTATACAAAATGGATCGTTCGCGTTTCACTATCATACTCATTTTACGTGCTTTATACATCATTTCCATGAGACGCGCGGATATATATTTATTTGGAGTTTCAAACTCGTAGTAGCTAAAATCAGAATATATTAAAAGACCATAAGCGCGGGGTGCATGTAAGTATAAAGTTCAGGAAACGCAATAAGCGTAACGCAATAAAATTGTATAGTGTCTTCCGTTATCCATAGGACTCGGCATCTCTCCCTCTTACTTCTTTTTTTAGCTAGCATTGGTTTGGAGACGCGATGGTGAAAAAAGAAAAAAGAAATCAGCTACGTAGTCGAAGCCACCGGGGACTAACGGCGCAGGGGTGGCAATGACGGAAAAGACAGGGAGTCACCCTATTTTTTTTAGCCCGGCCCGTGGGGTAAGATATTGATTTTTTTTATTTTATAATTAGGGGCGCGCACCCCTTAGCTGCCAGAAAAACACGTCACCCAGATCAGAAGGACACAGCCGGCTATCCCTTACACTTCGACATGTGAATTTAGGACGCATCACTCCTGGTCCAGGCACACTTTTCAATCTCTAATATCCAATAATCTAATAAATTTAATTTTCTCAATATTCAAATGAATATTCAATATGAATTTAGGAAGAAGAAGAAAATTGTTAAAAGTAAATTGAACTGGTTATTTCTCTATATAAAGAATTTGCTTTTTATGTAAATTGTTTTCGATTCTTTGATGGGGGATAAGAAAATGAAGAACATTATTCTCTTCGGAAAGTGAGTTGAACGACAAGCCTAGGTTGATTTTCTCGGAGGGCATTATCCCCGTTCGGGACTATTGATGTACCTATCAAGGTGTTTGAAAGAAAAAGGTGTTATTTATCAGGAGTGAGTCTTATACAGGGGGAGTATTACGCAATAAGAGGCTCTTACTACTAGAAACCCTATTGTATTTGAAAAGTGTCCCTCCTTTTATTTCTCTTCCTTTGGAAGTTTTAGTTTACTGAAGATACCCGTCGAGACGATAAAAATCAGCAGCACCAGCAACACTCTCGCAGATTCGTTTCCCCACAACTTTTTTTTTCGTCAAGAACCGCGAGTTTCGTTGCAACGGTATTATCGTACAGGGTTGGTTGTCAACGCCGCGCCGCACGTCCCTTCAGGAGGGGATTGCCTCCAGCTCAGCAATGTACAAAAATGGGAAGTGGGGGGAGGGTGAGGGCAGAGGCGTGCAGCCCCTTCATTCTTTTTTTTTTTGCTCTCCCGTCCCTGCCGTCAGAGGTGACAATTCTTCATCGTCCTCACTACCCAGCACGCCACCTCGTTCTCTCGTACGAC